TCATGTTTAGCAGTCCTCTTCCAACGAACTCAGACTCTATTATCTTTGTAATAAAGTTACTATCTTGTAAGAACATGCAATCAGCGACCTTGAGGACCTAACAATTCAATAGTTACATTGAAGACCCGGTTCTTAGAGCATTTCCTCTGAACAAACTTTGTTAATCATCAAAGCCTCAATACTCAACAATAGATTTTCTTATACAATACAAGATCTACATAAAAACTAATGGATTCGGCCGAACCCGCAAATACTAGCCCCTCTGGACGCCCAGGTTTTACCTTACGCGAACGCGGTCAACACCCCCGCGTTCGCAATGAACAAGTTCCGTTGACCACAAATTACCTCTTACGCGAACGCGTTCAACCAACCGCGAACGCGATGCACAAACCAGGCAGGGCCCCAGGCCCCTTCTACGCGAACGCGAAGCAGCCCTCGCGAACGCGATGGTCTGCACAACTCCTCATCACGAACGCGCTCCTGAGGCTGCGAACGCGAAGGTCTGCAACAGCTGGGCAAAAATCTGCAATAACTTCCAAGTTCAAAACCTCCGTTAAGCCCTCCGAAATCACCCCGAGGTCCCTGGGACCTCAACCAAAGAACCTTAATATTCATCATCCCCTGTGAAGAGTATAACCCTACATAAGCCAAACTGCACTCATCTCGATGGATAATTGAGACTACCCTGAAGACTCACTGATAACGTTATCGCTGCTAATGTTTATTGCCCTTCCTATGAAATAATGATGAGCAACAAATGTCACTGATACTATGGGAGTCTTATGCTACACAGCAGCCGTTGAGCAGCCCAACAAAGTCCACAACCAAAAATAATCCTATTCTTTATTTTTATTTTTTTTACAAATTTTAGAAAGTCCGATGTGTATAATCTGTGTGTATATATTATACACTGGATATACACTAAAGACGCCAACAAATTATTAAAACTAGGCGTGTGATAGTTTTCTTAGCTGGCTGGCTAAAAATGTTAAGATCCCTGATTGATTGTCTTAGAGGACATCATTATTTTTAGTTTTATTTTATTTCAAAAAAATACTACCAATGTTCACAATGATCTGTTTTGCTAAAACTTACTGAAACTTTTTGGAAGGGAAGAGCATAAATAGGCAAAATTTAAGAAAACAAAATTCAAAAACCTAGCAGCAATAGGTATTTTACATACATAGCAACTAATAATTAATTATATTCCCTAGCAATCTGGATCCATAATCACGTATCCAAAGCATTTATTTTCTTAAAAAAAGGCTATTCAAGTATACTATTCAAATAAGACTTGCACTTAATTATTGCTCAAGTTACATAATATGTTTGTTCTCGTTTACAAAAAAAAGGGAATTTAATAAATCTGAAATAACATGTATAATAATATACATATAACAGTCTGGAATATAACCTCACAATTGCGATAATATACTTTGAATAAGTTATGTATAATTTGTCATAAACTATGTGCATATTACAATAGATAATTTATCCATGATGTAAATGATATATAAGTTACACTAGATAATATACCTAGTAAAAATCACGTATATATTAATGTTATATTTTATCATAAATTCTTTAGCCATTGTATATATTTGTTATGTATTAATATTAATAATAGTGGATAATAAATATATATGTAGAATACATATATACATGGTATTATAATAGTAAATAACTATGTATAAATGTGTATATACACGATGTAATGATAGTACTTAATAGTGTATAAATTCCCAAAAAAAAAATCTAGTATGTTAACATGCCCAATATAATGATGGTATTTTATTGTACAAATCACGGTGCTATTCTAACAGCTTGTTTGGATGATGGTTATGTATAATGTATTGTATTGTATTGTATTGTATTGTATCATTTTGATGTATGCAATGTTTGGATAGATTGTATTGTTTGTCATCGTTTCATGATGTCATGCATCACCAATGTTAAGAATAAACTTGCAATATTATTTTTAAAAAATAAGGTATATGGTAGAATTATTATATAAAAAGATAGGGCAGTATAAAATAGGATTATTTAATAATTAAGGAAGGCCAAGATGAGAGGAAAAATAAGGTAACGAAGCGACCACGTCATATCGGTCGTTTCATAAAGTGGCACTTTTCATCATTATAACGACGGATTTAACTATACGGTACAATAAAATTTAAGTAACAATCAAAACAGACGTTGTATTTAAAGTAACAACACAATATAATATAACAGGTAACAACCATCCAAACAAGCTGTACGTATATTAATGTTATGTTTTATCATTTTTGTTCCTCTTTAGTGTGTGGTTGAAGAATAAATATCCTTTTAGAAGAAGATGGCATAAATGAGCTAAATAAAGGAAAAATTCTTTGAGATTTTTGGTAATCTTTGGTTTAAGGAAAAAGATGGAAAATCTTTTTACAAGATGTTAATGAGAATGGAAACGATTTTCTTAAATATTGGGTGCTGCCGTGCTGCCATTTAAAATATAAACGGTTTACTTAGTTATTGGGTGCGGCATTTAAGCTTTAAAAATGGAAACGATTTCCTTAAATATTCGGTGAGTCATTTCGGGGATCGCAGTTGTATAGATTTTTTATAATGCCACATTTGCAATAAAATCTACCATTTTTGGAATAAGCAGAAAGTAATACTTATTAGTTAAGAAAATAATTTTTATAAAGAAATAATCAGTGTAAAAAAAGGGAAAATTTCATATCAAAACAACTGGGCTGCCTCCGTTTCAACTTTATAGCCCGTATTTCAATTTACAATTGAGTAGCCCAAAAATAAGAGGCCCATATCCGAAAAAAGGGCGTTATTTCCGTTTTTTGGGAGTCAGAAGCGGGATTTTGTATCTTTCAGCAGGATTTTCTCTCATTCTTTCCATTCTTCTTCCCCAAATCCAGAAAAACGAGATCTTGCGGTCAATGCAGCTCCAAAAACCCTAGAAATTCTTCTTCATCTCGAATTAACAGAAAATCAAACACGAAAAGTGAAATTTTTTTGCTGCAAATCAGCGCAATTTTCATTTTTGCTGCAATTTTGATTTCAATTTTTTGTTCGATGGAGCTTTTTCCAGTTTACGTTCTTCATAGTGGTGAATGGGAAGAAAACAAGTTTATCAATTTCGTTAGCGATTATGCAATAATCGAGTCGTCATTCAGCTACAACAATTTAGTTGCAGCTATTTCGGAACAGATTAGGATCGATAGTGAGTTAAACACAATAGAGATTAACTTTCTCCCAAATGATGGTCTGCCACCGATCCTGATTTACAACGATACAGGTGTTAAGGTGTATATCGAATTAAAGAAGAAAAACTTGAATTTCACTGAATACCCCTTGTTTGTGACAGTGAAAGAGATCTATGATAATCGTTTGGTTGCTACAAGTTCCAGTTGTTTGGTTGCTACAAGTTCCAATTCTATAGATGTATCCACAATTGATAGCATTGAGATTATGCCTGATATCGAATTGATTGAAAACACGAAACTTAGTGAAAACACGGGTATAATAGATAATATGTTGAACGAATTTGTTGAGGAGGATCAAGTTTATAAAGATAAAGAGACAGCTATGAATGTGATGAAGAACTTGGCTGTACGCGAGAGGTTTCCATTCAAGGTGAAGAGATCAAGTGCAACAAGGTATGTCAATAATTGTATATTCTGTTATATATATGTATAAATATGTATAAAGTAGTATATATTTGTATATAGGTATTAAAATTAGTATATATCTAGTTATGTTTTTGTATACAAGTGTATTTAGAAGTTGAATGATCTTTAATCCTAGGTATCACCTTATGTGTGTGGATGACAATTGTGCTTGGAGTTTCAAATCTTCTGTCGTTTTCAAGGCAAATGTATTCACAGTGAGAAGTTACAATAATAATCACACATGCGGCTATGGTGAAAGATACTTAACACAACGTCAAGCTACTTCGGGTGTAATTGCTAGTATAGTCAAGGACAAGTTTATTAATCAAAAAAAGTTTACACCACAAATGATATAATAGAGGACATACAAAAGCAACACAGGATTGAAGTGAGCTACACGAAAGCATGGAGAGCTAAAGAGATAGCAATGGCAATGATAAGAGGGCGTCCGAGTGATTCATATAAGGAGTTGCCGAAGTATTTTTATATGTTGGAGCATACAAATCCAGGAATTACAAAGTTGCACAAATTAGAACATGGATGCTTTCTTTATGCATATGTTTCTATATGCATCTATCAAGGGCTGGGAGCATTGCAGACCGATAATGGCTGTTAACGGAAGTTTCCTTAAAGCAGCATATAAGGGTACCATATTGACTGTTTGCACACAGGATGGAGCTGGAGAGTTGACTGCATCTACCTTGTTTCTGCAGTTTGTATAATGTTGTAGTTTCATGTATAAAGGTGTACAGGATTTCACAGCTGCTATTTTTATAAAATTTGCAGTTGGTATAAAGTTGTATAATTGTGTATAACTGTGTATAAGATTTGTATAATTGTCTGAATCCTAATATCTATTTTGTATAAACAGGAAAAATCCTTCCACTTGCATATGCAATTGTAGATTCAGAGAATAACAAATCTTGGGAGTGGTTCTTTGTCCAGATAAAGGGTACTTTTGGTGTTAGGGAAGGGATGTGTATAGTTTCAGATAGAAACAAAAGCATCTTCAATGCCACAAAAGTTGTGTACCCAGAAGTACCACATTGTATTTGCATGTTTCACTTGTGGCAGAATGTAAAGCGCACATTCAAGAAACATCACAAACAATTGAAGGATATCTTCTTTGCTTTGGCTAGAGCTTACACGATAGAGAAGTTTGAGTACCATATGACAGAGATGTGCAAAATTGATCCGAGGGTGCATCCTTACTTGTTCGAAATTGGCTACAAAATGTGGTCTAGGGCATATTCCAAAGTGAAAAGGTCGATGGTAATGACTTCCAATATTGCAAAGTCAATTAATGCAGCAAACAAGGATGCTAGATAGTTACCAGTAATGCGATTGCTGGAGTACATGACAAATTTGCTACAACCGTGGAACAACAAAAACAGAAAAAGTGCAATGGAGACATCTACAGAGCTTGGCGAAAAGTACGACAAACTCCTTCGGGAAAATCTGATTGCATCGGAGCAAATGACGGTAAAATGAATCAAATATAATGATGCTTGGCACTGCTGACTTGCATTTACTGCTTGTATAAGGATGTATAACTCTATATAATAATGTATAGTGTTCTTTAACTTCTTCTTTTTTTTTAAAAAAACTTTTGTAGGTGCGGCCTGCTACGGCAGTTTTATACTGTGTTTGAAGGGGTAAGGCGAAACATAGTATGCCTTGAAAAGGGAACATGCAGTTGCAGAAAATTTCAAATGGATGAATTTCCATGTCCGCATGCTTGGGCGGTTTTGAAGAACCAGCAGCTGAAACCTGGCCAGTATTGCTCTTTTTACTATAAGAAGGATAAACTCCTTAGAACTTATGAATTTCCAGTGAATCCGATGCTAGATGAGAGTTTATGGGTAATCCCAGCAGAGGTGCTGGAAGATGTGGTCCTACCACCTAAAGGGAGACGGAATACAGGAAGGCCAAGAAAGGAAAGACTCAAACCTGCTTCAGAGAAAGAGTCTAAGAGGGCGTTTTCATGTTCTGTGTGTGGACAAGGTGGTCACAATAGAAATACATGTAGGAATCGACCAAAATAAATAGTTGGAAACATAACACTTCCTATTACATTTGTTGTCATGTTGAGTAGTTAAGTTTCACAAATAATAGAGTTACAAATGTTGAGTAGTTAAGTTTCACAAGCAATTGAGATGTTTCATTATACATGTTTTGGTTATCCAACAACAGTGTCTTGCTGTTTTTACTGGTGCTAAATATATTGATAGATTGTACAAATACAAAACAGAATTGCAAACAATCAATGGTATTATATGTATACAGATGTATAAATGAGAGTATAAGTTTGTATAAATTTGTATAACTATGTATATTATTGTATACATATGTATAAACCCTGCTACATTAACAAAACTGCAACCATAATGAAAATACATACTTTGTTAAAGGATAAAAGCAACTGAAATATTCATTAAAATGTAATTCATTCACAACCACAATGTGTAATGACTACCACAAATTACACAAATTACACAAAAATAAAAATATTTATAATATCCTCTAAGGTTATCTCACAAGTAGCAGAATAGTACTTAGACAAAACTAGGCAACAAGTCCTGATACATAGCAAAACTACAGTAAAATGGAAAAAACAGAACTACTTTCTCGGTCGTCCCCTCTTCCTCTTCCTGAAAAGTCTCCCTGTGATTTCATCACCACTAATTGCACGGGACTGTTGTTTTTTCCTTCCATAATCCCACAACAGAGATCCCCACCTGGTGCGAAGTATCTCAATGTCAAAATTATCTTTTCGAATTTCCTTACCAAGGATGAAATACTCAGCAAAGCCAGCAACAAAAGCACCACAATCACTCTAATTAAAAAGAAACAAATCAGATTCAAATAGGTACACTAATAGTAAAATAGTAAAACAATTGAGATTAACCTACCATTTGATCTGTTGGGGCACATTATTAACCAAACTAATCTGCAAAGCATCAGAATGGGATTTATTGGTATATGCACCATTGTTCCAATCAATGCCCTTCTTCTCGACATAAAAATCAGAACTCTT